CCTGCTCCTAATAAACCTGCTCTTTAAATATAACTGAGTCTCTGTCTCATGGAGAAACATGCCTGGGAACTCGCCACTTGCCTCTGAAAGGAGAGCTCTGGGGAAACCTTTCCCAGGGTGAACCCAAGGGCCCCGCACCCCACATAAATAACAACATCACTAACCACTTTCTCCTTGTCCACTATGTCTCACTCACAGTGCTTTTCTGTTTCAAGAACACATTAAACTGATCTTGTCACATATTCTTTGTACTTTCTGCTCCATTTACCAGGAATTTTCAACCCACTTTTCATCGTTCAGAATTCAAGTCCAATATTACCTCTTCAAAAAAGCCATCCCTAACACTCCCATTAAAATAATCACCATATCACTCGGTGATAGGAAACCCACAGGGATTAAAACTGAAATGAAAAAAAAAATGTACAAAATGATGTAAAAATAAACTATTACATTTATTTAAAAAATAATAATCACCACATCCTGTCCCAATCTCCACCTTTGTCAGTCCCATCATCTTACTTTAATTTCTAAAATTCTTACAAAATATTAGTGGGGTAAAAGAATACTTCATATAGTAATTCTCTAAATGCCTTCATTTCCAGGTTATTCTGTGGAGGCCTCAGATTAATGCAGAATCTGCATTAGGGTAAAGGACAAAGGTAAGCCAATAATACGTATGCTCCCAAATTCCAGAATATATAGTATCAAAGAGAAATAGAATAAAAAAATATGATCCAGATCACTAGTTTAGTTTTTTAAACTTAATGAACAATAGCTATGATGGTAAAAACTCTTTCATAATTTTTTTTTTAGAACCCTCTTCCTTTGAGTGTAGGGAAGGAAGAATAAATGAAAGCAAGCATCGCCTTCCCCTGAGAAATGACTTACCTGCCAGATTTCAATGCCTTACCTGGTATTTACCAGTCAAATTATACTGGGTGGACAGAAGACATTGTCTCTGCAACTAAATAGCTGGTGAGTTTGAACAAATCACTTTAGTATTTAATCTGTTACATTGGAATGAGAATTTCTATCTTGTTTAACTTGCAGACTTATTGTGAACTTCAAATTAAATAATGTTTATAAAAGTACCTTATGCTGTCCAGTGCATGGAAATGTAAGTTGTGATTTTTACAAAAGATTTACATTTTGTCAAAAGAAGAACCAGAATATTAGTTTGCACAATGTTCAAGAATTTCTTGAAAAAACATGGTCTCAGTTGGCTATTGATATTCAAATCCAGTTATATCTTTAATATCCTCCTTAGACGTATATAGACATATCTAATAATTGTTTTGCATTAGTAACAACAAATTGAAACTGATTCCCTTGTGTAAAGCAGACCACACTCAGTTAGGATTAAGTTGGATTCAAAACCTAACTGACAGTGTTAGGAATGAAGGATTCCAAGCAGTTGACATAGTCAATTTCACAACAAGGAGGGGCAGGTAGGATGATTGAGGAGGCAATGAGGACTTTGAAAACATCTTCACCAGATATTACATGGCCCTAAATTTTCACCATTGGAAGCATTTTTCATGTATCTGAGTACATTTTAATTTGGTAGAGGCATTCATTAACTTCAGAGACTAATATATGTTTAATGTACTCTTACCTACTGCCACTTAGTGAAACACTCTCATGAATTTTTGAAGAAACAGGAAGCAAACGATTAGGTAAAGTTTGCTGGTAAAAGGGTCAGGACCATGATATTCTGATTTGAATATTTGAAACTTTATTTTTTTGTTTCATTTTTTCCCTCTACATGTACTAATTTATTTCCTTAAATCCTTATTCATTTGTGTACAGTAATCGGGTTCTCCTCTCATCTGTGTGCCTGTACTTCTTCCACCAGCACAACACCAGAACTGGCACCATAGCCTCTTGTGCTTGTCCCTCTCCACTTTAGACCCCTCTCCCTCCTCCTCCCTTGCAGCAAGTGAGAGAGCATTTTTTTTAATTTATCGGATTTATATATGCCTGTGTACATATATACATACGTACACACACGTAAATATATGCATATATACACATGCTTATGTACACACATTACATGTATATACACATAATATGTTATATACACATGCATATGTTATATACATACATATGTTATATACACATGTATATGTGTATGTGTACATATATTATATACATATGTATATGTATATCTGTATGTGTTTGTACACCTGTATATACACATATATACATTATGTATGTATGTGCATGTACATAAATACATGTATATACATATATTATTTATATTATAAGCACACACACACACACATTGATGTTCATTTTAAAAGTGATTATATCTCCCCCAGGTGCAGATCCCATGGAATTTCCTCCCCCAGTTTGCTGCGTTCACCATCACTACAGTCCCCCGAGCTTCTCCCTCCCTAGGAGAGTATTTGAAAGTCAGTTTTTCAATGCCAGTGGTAGAAATACAAAAATAGCCATCTACCCAAACTGTCATGTAATGCACTTCATTTTAACTACAAGTTAACTAAAACTGAAAAGGTTCTTGAGATCCTTTTGCTTTATCAAGTTGTGGTCCCATTTATACACAGACACCATTTTAACTAGGTCACCAACACAATGTAATTGGTCCCAATTGTGTTTGATAGTTATGAATATATCATTTTGTCTTTTGGATTCTTAGTGATGTTTACATCCATGAATTATGGATATTTCCAATTAAATAAGGAAGAAAAGTTATAGCATAAATCCTATTGATCCAAATGTCTCTTAACCATTAAAGCAATGAACCAAATGTAATTTATAATAATCTGACTCTCATTTCATTCCAATTGTTTTTCTTCAAAAGCAACTTTTTTTCTACATTAGCTAACCTCAAGATGACCTACTTATTATTAAAAATTCAAACTTAAGAGTCTCATGAGGGTATATTTCCCCCAAACTGCATGATTTTCTGGCAAGAATATTATATAAGGCAAAGATCTTTTTCTGTATCTGATATAAAAAGCTGGTGCAACACCACAGAGCTTACCAGGGTAACTACTCTTTGTTTGTTATTCATCAATATTTCAAATATTTTATGTCATAAACCATCATTACTTTCTCTTTGTTAGTTTAGGGTATTACAGAGGTTACAGTAATGCATATAGGTGATTTTGAGCATAGGTAATGATTAAAGAAATATAAAAATTAATAGATAATAGAATTCAGAGATGGAGATAATGGATTAATAGGTAGATTAATTAATAGATAATGGAGGGTTTCTTTAATACCAGCAGTGAGTGTTGGAATAAGAAAGATAAGACAATTTACTGTAGGAAAGAAAGTCATCTAAGTGTGGCACTTAGTGGTCAGAAATAGTTTATATTGAAAGCTCATTTGCAAGACTATAATAATAGGGTGTTGAGTGATATATAATTATATAACCATTTTTTTTCTATTGGCAAAGGGCTGTTGTATAAGCTTGACAATGCAATAATAATAGGAAAGAACTAAATGAGAGGCAAGACTATTTTCCTATTGTCACAATCTAGAACCCGGTTCTTTCCCACTCAAATCATGTTTGTTTTTTTCTCATGTAGAGTTATAGTCCATTCCTAGTTAATGATAATTTTTTCTACTTGGCGATTACTTTTTGGTCACTTAGAATTTACATTACTCTTCCATGAGTTTTTAAGTCTCATGATTCAAGACAGTGGTTATTGATGCTTTAAGAAGAGGAAGAGAGACTAAGAGAAATATGCACATGCTGATAGAAAATATCGCCAATATATTGATAACTAATATTATGGTTATTTTTAAAAGAAATGTACACATTAATAGGATTACTATTACCCCATTCTCATGAGTAATATATATATATATATATATATATATATATATATATATATATATGCAGGTGTATATCCTGGGGTATGTATGTAATTTTTTAATATAAAGATTTATTTAATTATGCATACAGAACTGGGGTACAGGCCAGAGGTGCAGGGATGGGTGGGAGGATTCATCAGAGACAGAGTGGGTAGCAAACAGGCAGATCAACAAAGTACACTGCTGAGGGGAGCTGCAGGCGGGTCAGGAGAGGTCTGCCACGCCATGTGGATCACCTCCTGGGTGGGGGGGGTCGAACTCATGTTGAAGTGGCTTTAGCTCCTTAGTGCGGTGCTTTAACCCCACTGCACCACCAGGGAGGGCCCGGTATCTATGTAATTTTTTAAAAAGTTTATTTCTACATAGAAGAACTGGGTGGGGTACAGGCCAGAGGTAGAGGGGGGTGGGTGAGAGGATTCACCAGGGACAGAGTGGGGAGTAGAACAGGCAGATCTGCTGATGGGAGCAGCAGACAAGACAGGAAAGGTCTGCTGTGCCATGTGGGTCATTTCCCTGGCTGGGGATTGAACTCAGGCTCAACTGGTGATAGTGCTGGGATTTAATCCATTTGCCACCAGCGAGGCCCCTACAGTAATTTTTAAAAAATATATTACTAGACCTATAGATATGTCGAAATTCTTAATTTTCGTTTTATGTCTTGCTATACTATCTTAATTTCTAATAATGCACATATGACTTCATTTTTTAAAAGATTTATTTATTCGTACAGAACTGGGGTACAGGCCAGAGATGCGGAGGGTGAGAGAATTCACCAGAGACAGAGTGGGGAGCAGAACAGGCAGATCGATGAAGTACACTGCTGAGGGGAGCAGCGGGCGGGTCAGGAGAGGTCTGCTGAGCCTTGTGGTCACCTCCGGGGCAGGCGGGGATCGAACTCATGCGGAAGTGGCTTTAGCTTCTCTGTGCTGTGCTTTAACCCGCTGTGCCACCAGGGAGGGCCATGACTTCATTTTTTTTGGGTAAGTAATATACAATATATCTTTTAGAGCAGGATAAACAGAATGATGGCAGTTTTGAAAAAGAAAAAATAAAACTGATTCTATAAGAAAATAGCTGGAATTTTTTACAATGGATTTTTCTCTAGAACACATGTGTCATGAAAGCAGTAGCTAAAATAAATTAAATTGGGAAAGGAAAAGACTCGTCAACATTGTTCTCATTGGACATGCTGAGTCCAGCAAGTTTAACACTACTGGTCATCTGAACTACAAATATTGTGGCATTGACAAAAGAGCCATTGAACATTTTGAGGAGAAGGCTGCTGACATGGGCAACTGCTACTTCAAGTATGCTCGAGTCTTGGATAAACTAAAAACTGAACAAGAGTGTGAGATCACCATCTATATCTCTCTGTGGAAATTCAAGAGCACATGAATTATGTGACTATCATAGATGTCCCAGGACACAGAGACTTTATCAAAAACTGTCCTGTCCTGATTGTGGCTGCTGGTGTTGGTGAATTTGAAATCGGAGTCATAGGTAAACTTACGAGAATTTCCTTCTGCCTTATACAATAGGTAATTGTTGTTGTTAATAAAATGGATTCCGGGCCCTCCCAGGTGGTGCAATGGGTTAGGATGCAGCACTGCAAGCCAGCCACAGCTGCTTCAGTGTGAGTGCAATCCCCGTCCCTGGAGGTGACCCACATGGCATGGCAGACCTCTTGTGACCTGCTTGCTGCTCCCCTCAGCAGTGTACTTAGTTGATCTGCCTGTTCTGCTCTCTGCTCTGTCTCTGGTGAATCCTCTCACCACCCCCTGTGCCTCTCTGGTCTGTACCCCAGTTCTGTATGCATAGGTAATTACATTTTTAAAAAATTAAAAATAAAATGAATTCCACTGAGCCACCCTACATCCAGAAGAGACACAAGGAATTTATTAAAGAAGACAATACCTTCAGTTAGAAAATTGACTGCAGCGCCTACACAGTAGCATTTAGGCTCCAAGTTGAGACTGGTGTTTTAAAACCTGCTACAGTGGTCACCTGTGTGCCAGTCAATGTTATAAGTGAAGTAAAATTTCTTGAAATGCACCATGAAGCTCTGAGTGAAGCTCTTCCTGGGAACGATGTGGGCTTCAATGTCAAGAATGTTTCTGTCAAAGGCAGAATGTGGCTGGTGACAGCAAAAATTACCCACAAGGGCCTCCCTCATGGCTCAGGGGTTGTTTCAGCACTATCAAACTATGCAGCTATCAAGCTATCTCCAACTGCTGCAGCATGAGTTTGATCCCCAGCCAGGGAGCTGACCTACATGGCATGGCAGACCTCTCCTGTCTTGTCTGCTGCTCCCCTCAGCAGTCTATTTCGGTAGATCCACGATTCCCCACTGTTTCTGGTGAATCCACTCACCGCCCTGCACCTCTGGCCTACACCCCAGTTCTTGTATGCATGAATAAATTAATCTTTTTTTTTTTTTAAATGACCCCAATAGAAGCTTCTGGCTTGACAGCTCGGGTGGTTATGCTTAACCATCCAGCCAAACCAGCACTGGATATGCATCTGTGCTGGATTGTCAAACTGTTCATATAGCTTGCCAAGTTTGCTGAGCTAAAGGAGATTGATCGTCATTCTGGGAAAAAGCTGGAAGATGGCCCCAAATTCTTGAAATCTGGTTTTGCTGCCATAGTTCGTATGGTTCCTGGCAAGCCTGTGTGTGTTGAGAGCATCTCTGACTGTCCTCTTCTGGGCTATTTTGCTGTTCGTGACATGAGACAGACAGTTGCTGTGGGTGTCATCAAAGCAGTGGGCATGAAGGTATGGAGCTGACAGTCACCAAGTCTGCCTAGAAAGTGCAGAAGGCAAAGTGAATATTATCCCCAATACATGTCACCCCACTTAATCAGTGGTGTAAGAAGTTTCAGCACTGTTTACCTCAATTGGTCATTTAAGTTTAATAGTAAAAGACTGATTCATGACAGCAATGCATCATCGAATCTTCAGAAGGAAAGGAGACTGTTTTATGGCGCCTTAGGCTTATTTTGTTTGGCAGTAATTTTAGTTTTTAAAATTAATAATTTTTTTTAAAGATTTCATTTTATTTGTGCATACAGAACTGGGATACAGGCTAGAGATGTGGAGGGTGAGAGGATTCACCAGAGACAGAGGGGAGCAGAACAGGCAGATCAACGAAATACACTGCTGAGGGGAGCAGCGGGCGAGCCAGGAGAGGTCTCCACGCCATGTGGTCACCTCCGGGGCAGGCGGGAATCGAACTCATGAGGAAGCGGCTTTAGATTCTTAGTGCTGTGCTTTAACCCGCTGCACCACCAGGGAGGGCCCTAAAATTAATAATTTTTTTTAAAGATTTATTTATTTATTCATATAGAGCTGGGGTACAGGCCAGAGATGCGGAGGGTGAGAGGATTCACCAGAGAGAGTGGGGAGCAGAACAGGCAGATCTACAAAGTACACTGCTGAGGGGAGCAGCAGGCGGGTCAGGAGAGGTCTGCAGTGCCATGTGGTCTCCTCCGGGGCAGGCGGGAATCGAACTCATGCGGAAGTGGCTTTAGCTTCTCAGTGCTGTGCTTTAACCCGCTGCGCCACCAGGGAGGGCCAAATTAATAATTTTTAATGGAGAAAATTTGACCAAAACCTGTCACAGAATTTTGAGACCCCTTTAAATAACATTTAATGAGAAACCAGTGTCTTCGTTTGGTCAATACTGCTGCAGTACTAAGATAACATTTCAGTAACAGTTTCTCTTAGGTCTGATGTTGCATCCTAGCTAAACTTTTTCTTGGTGAGAATTTCCCCCTCCATTCTAAGGGACAGAATGAAAAAATAAGGGACAGAATCATCTGTGTAGAATTAAAAGCTATGAAAGAAAAGTTTTTGGTGGTAATACATTAGGTTAGATGAGTAGAGAAATCGCTTATATATAAGCTTATCAGATAACTAACTGTAATGTTAAAGTCCATGTATTCCTTATTAAATGTGTTTGTAATTACAGAAATATTGAGCACATTTGTTGGCATGATGCCCAAAATAGCAAAAGCAAAAGAAAATGCCTAGAAAGATATTCTCCAATATGAAACCAGCAGCCATTTTTGTAGCAGTTGTTTTTGAGTGATTTTAATATTTTCTTAGTGTCTATTTCTGTTTCCTATATTTTTACATATGTATTCATACATACACACACACATATAATTTTTGTGAAATGATATAGCAAAATATGCTATGATACTGGAGGATTATACTCAAAGAACTCTCACTTTGATATAAATCTTAATTGTAATTCCAAATTAATATTGCTTATAGCAGAATTACATGAGTATTGGTGAACATAAAAATAATCTGGTCACTGCAGAAGTGTTTAGAGAGGTGCTACCTATATCCTCAGAATGTAACAGCAAGGAGTATGCAAAGTCTTCAAATTCTTTGTTTGTTTGTCTTTTGCTTATTATTTGATTTCCCCAACAGTTGTCCAACTGGTATTTCTACATTAGAAGTTAAAACTCTATGCAAAAATATTTCCCTTTAATTAACATACCCAGTGACAGCAGGTGAGCTGAGGAGTCTTTCTCCACTTTTTTTTTCTTTTTGTTTGGTATATAGTATTCAAATTTTTAATATATAAACGAATAAATCATTGTTTTCAGGGCCTCCACCAAGCCGTACTTGACCATACCCTATCTGCCTCAATGCCCACCCTCTCTACTATTCACCTATTCCCTTTTACAACTGTTATCTTATTTTTGCATAGTTCAAATTTTTATTTTTTCCTATTGTTGCCATGAAATTGTTTGTTGGGTGTCTATGTTCTGCAGATGATTGAAACCATCTGAAATCTGTCTTTCATTTTTTGGCTGATTTTGATCAACATAATCATCTCAAGCTCCATACATTTTATGCCAAATGCCACCACTTCATTTTTTTCACAGCTGTATAATATGCCATCGAATACATACATAATTTTCTCTATCCATTCCTCTGTTGAAGGGAATTAGGATTGATTCCATGATCTGGCATTTGTGAGCAGTGTTGTTATGTACATAGCTGTAGATGTTTTTTGTTATTTTTTTTTTCATATTATTTGGATAGACACCTAATGGTGGTATTGCAAGATCAAATGACATAACCATTTTTATTTTCTTGAAACACCTGCATGCTATTTCCCATAGGGGCTTTTCCTGCTTGCATCCCCACCTATTGTGGTTTCTTTTCAATGCAACCTCACCAACATGTGTTTATTGTGTTCTTTTTTCTATGGGCCATTCTCATAAGGTGAGGTGGTATATCAATGTGGCTTTAATTTGCACTTCTTTTATAATAAGTGACATTGAAAACGTGTGCTATGTCTATCGGCCATCTGAATGCTGTCTTAAGAGAATTATCAGGACCTCTATTGAGGTCCTTTAACCATTTTTTAATTGGGTCATTTATTTCTTTGTTGTTGGATTATGTATGTCCTTTGTAAATTTTGGAGATTCAACCCTTGTCAAATACATGGTAGGTAAATTTTCCCCTACATTCTTTAGGTTGCCTGTATATGAAACCTGTAAGGCATTATTGAAAGAAGAAAAAGAATTGGAAATGTTATAGTCAACCTTGAGGAAAACGGGAATGACTTAGTTTGTAAGTTCTCACTCACATGCTTAAGAAATTGGGACAAGGCAAAAAAGAAGACATGCAGAGAGAATTTTGAAAAGGATTATTTGCAGAGAGAGGAAAGAGAAAGACAGACAGACATAATTATTAATCATACACAAGGCCAGAAACCATCTTCCCTGCCAGCAGTGCCATCTGAGTGGAGACTGGTGTGTGAATCAAGAGAGTGAGCACATACATGTTCAGTTTTTAAGCTTTCCCTACTCAGAAAACCAGGTTCATTGTATGCTGGGAGCTGTATACCTCGGCATCTGAGATCTCATTAGTGTGCAGATAGAGGTAAGATCAAAAAATGTCAGAGAGTGGAGGTTGATTCAGGATTTTATTCACTGGTTCTGTTTGCTCCTCAGTGTCACTTGAACAATTCTCCCACACCTTTCAATTTTTGTGACTATTTCTATGATGACGAAAAACAAATGAGTGGGTACTGGAGTGTGGTCTCAGAAAAGTCTCTAGGTTTACAATGTATTCAAAGGAAGTAACAATCAGATACTAGCCTATTGTACATACACAGTATAGCAAAGTCCTCCATTTCTAGAAAACAGTGAATCAGTTCAAGCAAAACAAACAAGCAAACAATCAAAAAGGCTAGAGACACTAGTTGAATAAATAAGAAACAAATTTGTAAAAAACTCAAGATGAGGCTCTCCCTGGTGGCACAGTGGGTTGACGCACAGGACTATGAAGCTAGCCGCAGCCGCCTCAGGCCTGAGTTCAATGCTCCACCACACCAGGCACACATGGGGAGGCAGACCTTCCCTACCTCGCCCACTGCTCCCCTCAGCAGTGTACTTTGTCAGCCTGCCTGTTCTGCTTTCCACTGTGTCTTTGGTGGATTCCCTTACCTTTCTGAACCTCTGACCTGTACCCCAGCTCTGTATGCATAAATAAATAAATCTTAAAAATAAAAACTCTGATGAAAACCAGGAAAAAAGCACAGAAATTTTTCTCCACTTCATCTCAATTTTGTTAAATAATACAGCAAATTTTTTTGAAATTAAATATAATTTCAATGCATTAGCTCTAATTTGCATAAACTCACAGGAAGAATAACCAAGTAGAATTTTTATTGGTTTTGTTGGAACTTTCAATGAGGAATCTTAGATTGAACTCTCAACATTTGACATTTCTAGGTCACAGGAGGAAGGTCTTAACATTTCTTACCAGAATGCACTGGCAACATCTGTACCTTTGGCTAGATTTACTCTGATTGAGGTTTCCCAGGGTCTTCTGTCTGGGTCTCCAGGTCTGCCAATGGAGTTAAGTTTCTCTACTTGTCTACCTTCCTTAGAAGTCTCTAGAACCGTACTGGCAATGTAGTAGGCTCTTTTCTTGGCTCCGATAAATTTTAACTCTCAAAAGACATTTTAATTGAAGCTATGATAGTGAATTATGTTTCTAATTCATTAAGAAGAGACAAATAAAATATCCTACCAAGGGCCCTCCCTGGTGACCAACGGGTAAGGATGCAGCACTGCAAGCTAGCCGCAGCCGCTTCAGTGTGAGTTTGATCCCCAGTCCTGGAGGCGAACCACATGGTGCAGCAGACCTTTTCTGACCTGTTGGATGCTCCCCTCAGCTGTGTACTTCGTTGATCTGCCTGTTTTGCTCCCCACTCTGTTTCTGGTGAATCCTCTCACCGCCCCTGCATCTCTGGCCTGCACCACAGTTATGTATGCATAAATAAATCTTTAAAAAATTCCTACTGAAATTATACAAAAACAAATATGCTTAAGAACCTGGGACAAGACACCACACAAAATATGCAGAGAATTTTAAAAAGGATTATTTGTAGAGGGAGGAGAGACAGCAAGACATAGAGAGACACAGGGAGATAATTATTATTCAGATACAAAGCCAGAAACCATCTACTCTGCATACATTCCCTTCTGCAATCCTTGGCTGAATCGTCACTTTCTTCTGTCATCTCCTTCCATTCCTTTCTTTCTGTTTCTCATTCCTTCTCCCCTATTTTGCTTCCAATCTGTCCTTCCAATGTCCCACTTATTTGCAATAAGACTATTGATTTTTCCTTAAGTGTTCACTTCTACTTCCTCTCCACATTCATTATTTCTTCTTCCTAAACCTTGTCCTGCCTTCTTTCTGCAAATACAGGTACAGGGTTAACTTTCCTTTCTTCTCTGGCACTGTAAACTAAAAGCTATGCGTATCAGCTAGAAAGAGCTCTCCTCTAAAATACCTTCTAACTTGAATAACTCCTTACATCTGGAGTGTTCTGCCCAAAAAATATCATGTAAATGATCTAAGTATATTCCAGAAGATTTGGATTCAGTTATGTGTAAATACAATAATTCTTTCAAAAAACTTCCATGAATTCCCAATGGGTTTTTCCTGAGGCCAGAGTATCTTACTAAAATTCTTTTCCTTAAGCATTCCTACATTAACCTTACTAAGAATCACCTCTGTTAGTGTTGTAGCCTTCCAACTGCACCATCATTGGGGTACCAATTTGGGTTTACCATTGTAACAGCCTCTTTTATTTCTGGGGTTTCTGGATCTTCCTAGTGGAGAAGACGGACCTCTTCGCTAGGTTTCCCTAAAATCATCATTTACTCATCTGACATTAATAGCATACATAGCATGGATTGTATGTCTGCCCAGGTAGGTCCATGGGAAGCCAAAGCAGAAGCAAGCAAATTAACCTTCCTTTTAGGACCTTACCAGTATAGAGTGATGGAATGTCTCCAATTCAGGGGGTTTCTGGTGACAAAAAGGAGTGCATGACCATTAGTGTTTTACAACAGATTGCTCGTATTCATTTATCCGTCCACTGGGAATTGGTGAAGCAAGAACTTTCTACCATAGTGTGAATATTCTGGTCAAATATGGTGTTTGTCTGATAGGAGACAGAGAATCTTAGTACTCTTTTTGGGGTGGGGTGAGATACACAAAGTCTCTGGAGCCTCTGTAATCTCCCAGAGAAGGCCACTGACTGCTGAAAAGGGACTCTCCAGTTGTTGAATTCAAAATCTCCTATAAGAGGATTTCCTTTTCCTCTCCTTCACAACTATTAGGGGGAGGGGAAGTTTACTTCACCATTTTTGTGTGTGTGTGTGTGTGCCATCAAATTGACCTTTGTCATTTGTAATCTTCATTTATGGAGAACAGCCAGAATATCCAAGGAGACTTTGGTAAAAATAGATTACTTCCTCTTGAACCCAAAACCCAGTTATAGAAAATGCTGATATACACACATAACTAAGAAGACCCTAAGGTATGTTTCTTCTGGAAACATCCTAAGTTGGTGGTTGAAACTGAGTTCCATGTGTATTTGCACAGGACCACCCATAAAACCAAAATTAGTTTGCATACACTGAACTTTTCCATACCACACAAACCAAATCTTAAAGACAAATACTAAGAAGGAGATCTGCATAAAGATTGAACTCATGCCAAAATAAAAACACATGTAGAGTTTACTGAAGTAAAACCAAGCTCCTCTCATCTGAGACAGAAAAATCCTACCACATGATCCATAATTGCAACACACTGAGAGTGACCAACTCAAGGAAGGCTTCCTACAACAGCTTTATGATATATTTAAGTGTTCATCCCAAACAGGGAGGAAAACCAAACAGAAAATAAAGAACTGGTAGTACACTGAAATAAAATTTTCCTACACAGTGAAAGAAACTAACTAAAATGAAGCCATCCGACTCAAAGAGAAAAAAAATATTTTCACACCTTATATCTGGCATCATAAATCACATCATATGTGGAAGACATACAAAGAACTTAACCCAACAAAAAGAAAATAACCCAATTAAAAAACTAAAAAAAAATATTACTCAGCAACCAAAAAAGAGAAACACATGTCTTTTGCAGCAACTTGGATGGAGCTGGAAAAGATCATGCTTAGTGAGATAAGCCAGAAAGAGAAAGAAAAATACTGGATGGTTTCACTCATAGCAGGAGTATAATGGACCAGGTGAGAAAATAACAAGAATAATGAACAACCATATACCAGAGACGTTTAGTGGGGGTGGAGTAGGGAATGGGATCAAAAACAGGGGGGTGGGGAGGGAACTGCACGGGATTATGGTGATGGCACACGGGTGACTTGGTGATGGGAAAACCACGGGGATTACAATTGAGACGGGAAAAAAATGTACAAAATGATGTAAAAATAATCTGTTATAAAAAAAAACTAAAAAAAAAAAACTCTCCAAAGGAAGCATACAGATAACAAACAGGCACATGAAAAATTGTGCATCATCACTTATATGAGGGAAATGCAAAATAAAGATTATGATGAGATATCACCTATCACCTGTGAGAATGGTCCATATCAGAAAGAACAGAAATAACAAGTGTGGAGAAGAACTGTCCTACACTGTTGGTGGAAATGCAGATTCGTCCAGCCATTATGGAAAGCAATATGGTGGTGTCTCAACAGATTAAAAATTGGTCTTCCATACCACCCAGTAATTCCACTAATAGACATTTATCTGAAAAATTCAAAAATACTAGTTTAAAGGAAAATTTGCCCTGCCATGCTCACTGTATAAGTATTTATAACAGCCAAACTATGAAAATAACCTAAGTGCCTCCAAACAGATAAGTGGATCAAGAGAATGGAATGGAATATCACTCAGCAATCAAAAAAGATAGCTAATACTATTTTGACAACAGATGGAGCTGCAAGGAATAATGAAAAGTGAAATAAGCCAGAAAGAGAAAGATAAATACCAGATGGTGTCCCTTGTATGTGGACAATAGAGAAACTGAACTAGGGGGTTAGATAAATACAAACTTAAAAACTAACCCTTGAAAACTACTATGGAAATGAATCAATTGAGTGGGAAGAGGTGGGAACAGGTGTGAGCAACGAGGGAAGTGAACACAAAGAACTGGTATTGTACTATAGGTGATTTGCTTGTTGGTGCATTATAGAAGTGATTCCTGAGGTGCAGGATCCTATACATCACAAATAACCATGATAATGTAAGCATGTTATCTCAATTATAATAAATGTCAAAAATATATTAAATAATAATAAATTCAAAATGTACATTGAAACAACAGTATGGCATGGCACAAAAACATATATAGATCAATGTAACAGAATAGAGAGCTAAAAAAATTGATCCACATATATAGAATCAATTAATTTATAACAAATGTCATCTGCAAATCATGATGGTTTTATTTCTTCTTTCCCTATTTGAATTCCTTGTATGTCTTTCTTTTGTCTTACTACTCTGACTAGGACTTCCAGTGTTATATTGAAAAGTGGTAGTGAGATTGGACATCCTTATCTTGCGTCAGATCTTAAGGGAAAGGCTTTCAGCTTTTCACCATTGAGAATGATACTGGCTGTGGGTTTGTCACATATTATCTTTATTATGTTCAGGTGTGTTTTTTCTATCCCAGGAATTTCTAGGGCCTTCATCATAAATGAATGTTGAACTTCATTGAATGTTTTCTTAACATCTATTGATATGATCATATGGTCTATATTTTTCTTTTTGTTGATGTGTAGGATTACATTAATGTATTTTCATATGTTAAACCATGCTGTGCCCCTGCAAAAAATCCCAATTGATCATGGTGAACTATCTTCTTGATGCATTGTTGGATTCTGTTGGATAAGATTTTATAGAGGATATTTGCTTCAGTGTTTACTAGGGAGATTTGCCTGTAGTTGTCTTTTTGTGTGTTGTCCTTGATTGGTTTGGGTAGTATTGTATACATGGGAAAATATATTCACAAATAATGTATGCAATTAGGGTTAATGTACAAAACACACAAAGAAAAAATAAAGCTCATTAAAAGTTATAAAAATAGGGCTGAGAAGTTGTATAGATATTTCACTAAAGAAGACACTCAGATAGTCAACAGGTACATGAAAAGGTACGTAATAGTATCAGTGAAATGCTAATTAAATCACAATAAAATTTCATCTCACAGCAGTCAGAATGGCTATTGTCAAAAAGACAAGAAACAAATTAATACAAATACAACTATATGAACTATTAATTCTATTTCTGAAGAAAATGAAAACACTATTTTATAAAGATATGTGCACACCTATGTTAACTGCAGCATCATTTACAATAACCTATATTAAATAGCTTACATGACCATCAATGAACAAATGGACAAAGAAGCATGAACACATAAACCATGGAATATCATTCAACAATGAAAAAGAATTTTGCCATTCGTCACAATGCGGATAGATGACCATGAGATTATTAAGTAAGTTAGACACAAAAAAGTAAGTATGGTATTCTCACTTTATATGTGGAATCTAAAACAAACAAAAGGAAAATCACAGAGTCAGTAAATGGATTGATGGTACCCAAGGGTTGGCATGTAACAAGGTGGGTAAAATAAGTGAAGAATCCAGAGGTATAAATTTCCATATATAACATTAAAAGGTCAAGGAGATATAATGTACAGTATTTGAGCTATTATGTTACTGTGAATTTAAATGTTGCTAAGAAACGATGCTAAGTAGTTTTACTGCAATGATTATTTCCCAATATATATAAACACTGAATTTTTATTTTATATGGCTGAACTAAACACTGCATGTCAATTATGCTTCAATGAGAAAGTAATGTATGCACATATATCTTTTAAATTTGGATAACATCTTAAAGAGTAAGAATAAAATAAAAATTATAATCAATATGCAAAAAAATCTTAAACTTTAGTCTCGGTACACTTAATCAGAATTTGTCTTTTAAGAACATCCCCTGAAGACTCCTATGTACATTAACATTTAAGAAGCACTGAACTATGAGAAAATCAAGGAAATATAAATGATTATTTGATAATGTTAAGAATCACTGTTGACCTTTTTTAGTTGTGATATTGACATTGCTTTGAAATAGAGATACATACTGTAATTTATGAATGAAATTAGATAATAGCTAGGATTTATTTCAAAACATTCGAGAAGAGGGCATGGAAAGTCCATGGGGGAATATAAAGAATACATTTTGCTAAATAATGATCATTATTGAGGCTGAGGTATATATATATAATATATATAACATATAACTCAGCCTCATATATGTGTATATATATATATATATATATATATATATATAATAGAATTGAGGTTTACTATACTACACTATTCCTTCCACTTTTGAACATGTTTAAAACATTCTATAATAGGAAGTTTTAAATGTTTAGTGGTAAGGTGAGTAATTTCTCCCCCAAAGATCTTGCTTCTTTTTTGTTTGTTTGCATTCACTGGTATTCTTTCCTAATAGAACTGTTCAATAACTGAACTATACGTGAAAAACAATTGATTCAAATAAAAAAAAATAGTGATCTCATATTTCACTCTGTCTGCTGTAACCTGTTATCTGGGATGGAGATTTTGGTAGCAGGGGCAAATACACATGACCTTGGAGAACGTGCTCACACAGGATTTTTGAGAATTATATTGCTTTCTGGGCCTTTTCAATGCCCCAAACACGTAATCTAAGCAGACAGTCTTCCAGACACTGTATACAACTAGAATGCTTGATTAGGGCGTGAAAAATTCTCACTGGAAAAATTTGAAAGTATAGATAGTATGGCTGAAGGACATGGAAAGGGATTTTCTAGTATTCCTGTAAGGCATGGTGATTGTGAAATCAAGCTAAGTAATAACAAAAGAAATGTATTTTGCTGGCTACAGTTTATCATTATTAGAGAACAAGTGTTTGTTTCCGTGACAATACTGTGCATCTGCCACTTCACAATTGGATATCTAAAAATATGTGTCAGTTAGCAAATTTAGCTCAACTCCCGCTTAGGGATTTTTAACAGCAGTTACTATTAATCTGTCTTACTCATCTACCTCTGT